TTGGATCGCCAGGACCAACACTGAAGAGAGCTTGGTAGATAAAACATGGGCATTTTAAGACAATCATAACTGATGGAGAGGCACCCTTGCTCATAATAACTATGCACATAGTTTATTTATTTAATACCTAGGAGCAGAGAAGATTTTCAAATAATTCATGTATTTTCACTACATAATCTATAGAGCCCAGCCATAACACCAGAACCCCTGACAATTGGGCCATTAAATTCCAAATTTTGGTAGATGCACTTTTGATCATTATAACTATGCACTTAGTAGGTTTATTTAATACCATGAAGCAGAGAAGATTTTCAAAGAAAAATATACTTTAAGACTTTATACTTATTAAATCCTGCCCTAGCACTAGAACCCTTGACCCCAGGGCAATGAATTTCACAATATTGGAAGAGGACTCAATGCTGATTTACAATTATGCTAACAGTTTGACTGCTTGATGTCCAAGAGTAAAGAAGAAGATTTTCAAACATTGCACTTATTTTAGTGGTTTTGGCCCCACCCCTCAGGCCCAAGGGGGGCAGGGATCATGAAATTCACAATTTTTGTCCCCTTCAACCATAGATGCTTTGTGACAAATTTGGTTGAAATTGGTTAACTGGTTGCAGAGAAAAAGCTGAAAACATTCAAATGTAAAAGGATGACGACGGACGTAAAAACAGATAGCATAGGTGATAGCTATTGTATGCAAATTATGAGTTTCCTTTAACAAGTTTTAAAGATTTTATAGATTATTGAAATTTTGACTTTAGGCTAAGTCTGTGTAATGATATTGTTCTGATCAAAATATACCAGAAGAATCAAGTATAATTTTATGAATCATTCCTTACCCATAATTGTTACCAAACGGTATATAACAATCAGTTTGTCTACAAATCTTTCGTATCACAAGTTCCAATACAGCTGGGGCTTTGATAATTTTGATTTTCCAAAAATATTTTGAAGACTCTTTTTGGTCAAATAGGTACAATCTGAAAATTAAAAAAAAAGCGTATTTTGATCGTGTACTTTTATCCACATTAAAGTAGATTGAGTGAAAAATTCCATTTGGGGCGATGGAGAACAAAAATAATAGTATACTCCATTCCTACGATACCGGTGGTTTTACGGTACCGGGGTATTCCTTTATTCCTTCTAGACTTGTGATTAAAAAGAGGATAAATGCTTTTGAAAACTAGGATTGTACATGTTTATTAAATATTTCCAATCACTCAATCCACTTCACTTAAAATAGTGTCGACTTTCTTAAAATACATATGACTAAATAGGCATAGTTGCCATAATATCTTGTGGAGAAAAAAGCATGTGAGATTTTGCAACAATTTCTTCAATCACATTATCTGTTAGGCTATGCATCAGATCAGACCAAAGCAAAGTGCTTGATATTGATAAAGAAAACTTAAATGCTATCAATGTTTCTTTTAAAAGAACACAGTCTGAGTCTGACACTGAAGGTCCCATGCTTGGATAACAGCTCTCCCTTTCCATACATGCTGGGTATGTTGGATACGACTCAACACCCATTGACATTCTTTTTCACAAACATCACAGCAGTTATGTAAAGGGTTAATGTCCATGTTGCAAAGATATGAAATTCCTTTAAAACGCTATTCCTTCTCCAGTTTTAGTTTGATTTCAAAATAAGTTGGCACACAAGTAGACTACAGAAATACAAAAATACTGCAATGGTTTTTGATAAGTACAATCCAGTAGAGCTACAGTCTTGATAGAGACTTCTGGTTTGTTCTCCTTACAAACTTTCATGTTTATCCTTACTACGAAGGTGGAAGGCAGGGACGTCTCCTCCAGCTCGATTGTACAGCCCTCATATCCGCAGTTAGTCTTCGTCCCGGCCTCATTCTGTCCCTAGCCCCAAAGATCTTACCCCTTCACAGACATCCTGCAAGACCAGTTCATTTTCCGTTTGATAATACGAAAAACGTACGCAGCCACGAAGAGGCAAATCAAAGTAAAGGACGTAACAGCTAGCCCATAAATATAGAAATGACTAGTAATATGTAAAAATACATGAAACGTCCAGAAATGTACAGGACAATTCTTTAAAAAATCTTCTTCTCAAACATGTTTACCTGTATGGAGGAAATATCCGATACCTGCTACACGTTGGCTAGTAAGAAATGGGCTTATGTGCGTGGTTCTTTAGATCAGCAATTTGAACGATGGCAAAGTAAAGATAATCCTAAGAATACGGACAAAGCAATGGTCATTGCACTTCACCAAATGAGGGTTAAATTCCACTTTACTGTCGTCAAGTTCCAGTTCTTGGATTTAATTCTGCCATGTACGACTTGAACTTAAATTAAAAACGACATCGCGAGACATCTTCGTTTACATGAAACCAACGGGATGACCATTAAAATGAACAATACGTATACGTGTATAAGCTACAACAAACTCCGTCTTCTAGACATTACAAGCTTTATGGCATCTGGTACCTCCTATGCAAGTTTTCTCCGTGCATATCAGATTGAAGAACAAAAAGTTTTTTTTTTCCGTACGAACATTTAAAAAAATTCCGACAACTTAAAGAGGAAAAAACAACTACCCCCCATTGAAATGCGAACATAAGCCCAGAGAATTATAAATTCTGTCAGGACGTTTGGGAGAAAGAAAATATGAACTGTTTAAAAGGTTTCTTGTGTGGTATAATAACCAGGACATTGGACCGTTTGTAGAAGCAGTGGAGAAGTAACAAAGAATTTACTTTGAAAGTGGCATTGATGTTTTTAAAGTGGTCATGTCTCTTCCCGGCATTGCGCAAACAATTTTATTTCAAACAAGTTTGCGTGCACACGCTTCATTTGCACTTTACGGAGAACAAGAAAAAGGCTTATTTAAAACGGTAAAAAATAGCATCGTTGGAGGTCCGTCCATTATCTTTTCAAGGTATGCAAAATGAGGAGAAAGAACTATCAGGTACAATCCTGAAAAACCTTGTGAAAGCATAGTTGGTTTCGATGCCAATGCACTGTAGTTGTGGGCCATAGACCAGAATATGCCTAACGGACTATTTATTCGTCGTCGTGCCGAGAACGGATTTCGTGGAGAAGTCCGAGATAGATTCATGTCTGCATTCTAGGTTGGATTATATGAGTACTGTTTCGGGACATTTCATTCAGCATCGTTTAAATAACGGCAAAGAGAAATCGCGTGGGACCCTATCCAGTGGACGGATACTGTGCAGACACGTATACTATATTCAAGTTCCATGGGTGTTATTTTCATGGATATAAATCTTATTTGACAAAAAATATCAAAGACAAAAAGTGGCATGAAAAAAGAGAATCGCTTTTCAACAAGACCAAAGAAACATCCAAGTTTTTAAGACAGGAGGACTTTTCCGTGAACGAAATATGGGAGTGCGAGTACAATGTGCTCAAGCAACAAAGTGCCGGTTTACAGAAAATAATTACTGACAAAACATCACAGTTTTACAAAAAAACAAGGGATGTGTTACCGAAAATCAGATATTACAAGGCGTTCTGGATGAAAACCTTTGGAATGGTTGAAGTGGACATTAAAATTCCTGACCAGTGGCCGGATCACATGCAAAAAAGTTTAACTCCATACGAATATTTTCAGGAGATGGCACCCATATTGATATTTTGCATTATAGACATTCCCTTCGACGCAATTGGTTTTCGCATGCAAAATCATGCACAATCTAAGTGAAAATCCTCGTCAACTACTGTTGTAGTTTAGATTTTGAATTGTTCAAATTATGACCCGTAGGTTAGGGTATGGGTCACAAATCACAGTGGTCGGTGATAAATATGAAAATTATTTTAAATAAATAAAAACACAGAGAACGAGTAAAACATAAGCGCTTTCATTTCTTCTTCATGTTTTACAATACTCATGTTAACGTCTATTATGACGTCATAATAACTTAACGTTAACAAGTCTTTGATTGACGTCATATTTTTCCCGTACTTTTACAGAACAATGCATTAACAAAGCATACAATAACAAAGCAATGAATGTGACTCAGTAAGATAATTTACATGTAAAGAAACAATACTTTTACATTAAACTATTTAATTTAGGTTTGAAAATCCTTATAAAATGTCTTTCTTTATCACGTCTTTCGATTGTATTAGAATTGTGCAGCTTATAAAATGGAAAGACAGTAAAAGTTCTATTTCCGCACACGTCTTAGTGTTCACTGACTTTCAGTTTGCGATATTGCGGTACGTTTATTTGTTGTTTGTATATATATATATATATATATATATATATATATATATATATATATATATATATATATATATATATATGAAAATTTCTTTTGAGCTTTGGAGAATTTTAAGTATAAAGAAATGTCGTAAATGTATTGTTTACCCTAAACTGTCACTTTTTTTTTTATTTCAATACCGCAAATTCTATCTTTACGAAAGAGAGGACTTGACCTGAATTTTGAAACAGATATTTGTTGATAACTTAGATTCAGGCATTGTTGATGATATTTTTTCCATCAAGATTTCTACATTCCTGTTGCCCTAGTATGTGGCAAATTTGTAATGAAGGGAGATATCCGTTTATCACGATAAAACACATGCCTCACAGATTGGGCATGTTACAAATCAGATCTTTTAAATGGTCATTTTATAGGAATAATTATCGACAATGATTGAATATTGTAGATAGAATAAAACTGCATTTAAATGATATCTTTATTTTATTGGTTTAGAATGTCAGTCGTCCCATTTTATTACTGTCCATAATGGATTGAGAAGTCAAGTGGTTTACGACAACCAAAGATGACTAGAATCATCAACTGCTCGTATCAGATACCAGAGATGACAGATTGCTTTCCATGTTAGTACTTCCACTGGATATAATTATCTACTTCATATTTGTACATGTTCAAGTAAATTTTATTTCAAATGAAACAGACAATGCACCAGGCACAATGAAACATGGTAGCTCAAGTTATATTTCCTATTTTTACGTTGTAGAAGTCACGAAACTAACGGTTGGATTAACATTAAAATAGTTTTCAATATTGCCAGATGTGTTGTAATCTAGATATTTAGAAATAAATTCAATATTTCATAAATATTTTATAGTTCATTGAAAATTTGCCTTACGTCCAAGTTTGTTTCATGATCCTGGGTCCAGTACCAAACAGCAATAAAGATTCCTGGACTGAAAGTATATTATTTAGTATGCATAATACACAAAAGTTTAACTGTAGCAATTTAACGTACAATTCATACAATGTAGTGTAGAAATTTAAAATTATCATTCTATATAAGGCCTAAAAAATTTGTTTGTTTCGTTTAACGCGACCGACCCATTCAAATTGCGCCTGGTTGGATTTTTTTTTTTGACAAATGGCAAAACTTCGTTTTATCAATCAGCTGATCTCATTTATTAAAAAAGAAAATTAGCTTGTAGCTTAATTTGAGACATAAAATTTGTCAACCTAGTTTATATTTACCTTAGCTATGAAGAGTAATCATTATTATATAAACAATTTTCCCCCTACAACTTTATCAAAATCGTTTTCTCCTGCTAGTCAGCCATTTTGAATGCCATGTTGTGTGTCCACTGTAAATCTGACACCTGGTATATTCAGTCTGGGGATGTTTGACCATTCATAAGCAAAAAAAAAAAAAAGAAAAGAATTCCCGACACTTAATTTTTGGGGAATGTTACAGGAAACAAACATATTTTTAAGCCTTATGTAAAGTTTGTTATGAATAATTTGACTTTCTTTCTTTCAGAGGGCCTACAACGAGAAGAATGTCTACCGCTATCTTCGCCAAGTGATGTCTTTGCAGTTCCTCTTCCTGAACACGTCGTAGACAACTTCGAAAGACTTGATACCAGGGCACAAGAAGCATTTCAGCCGCAAATCATGATCCACGTGTACCATAACTGGAAGAGGAATGTAGAATTTTATATCCCCAAGTTGAGCATGTTTTGGACAACCATAAGAACACAACGATGTGGAGGGTTTGCAAAACCGCTTCAACATCATTGCAGCAGAGGCCAGTGAACCCAGTGCATATGGACTCCCTGTGTTCCATTTTCCAAAATGTAAAAATATTGAAGAAACTGTAATGTTACTTTGAATTTTGTGATGTGTTTGTTGCAAAAAGGTGTATGGTGTATGCATGAATGTATAAATATAAAAAATTAATGTTTTTCATACATGTAATTATTAGTTTTGTATTGTAAACTGTTATTACAATGATTGTATAATTTTTCCCAGTGATAATGCTATTGAATTTTTATTTTATTATTACCAAAAACGAAACCTGTCGTAGTAGGGAATGTTAGAGGCCTCCAACAAAATCTAACTTCTCAGAGAGATTTTCTTACACAACTACGCCAAGACTATGAGCTCATCTTACTCGGTGACTTTAATATTTGTAAGTTATAACCAAATGTGCCACTCCTATCAAAAATTTCTCACCCTCTTCAGTTTAACCCAAATTATAAAAGAACCTACTTGAATAACAAACTCATCTAGATCTCTTATATTGACCACATTATTTGTTACAATACTGAAAAACATATATCAGTCTGGGGTTATCTGTGTTGGTGTTAGTGACCTCAGTCTTTTTTTATTGTTCAAGAAAAACAGTAAAACCCATTTTGGGGAAACATAATTATATTTAGATAAGATCTACCAAAAATTATGATAAAGATGATTTTATTAAACTTTTAACTGATGCAGACTGGGAAAATGTACTATTGAATAAAAAACAAACTTAATTACTTACTTCCATCATAAAAAGATCAATTTGAGGGAATAGGAAAGCTTGAGGATTTTAAAGTAAAAGCTCATTTTGATAAAGTAGTAAAACCCGTTGCGTAACCATAATGCAGAATTTTCACAGACGAAAGGAATTAAAACGAGAGCTAGAGAAACTAGAAGAAATGGACATCATAGAAAAAATTGATGGACTGACTCCGTGGGTGACAACAATTTTAGTAGCTCCAAAACATAAAATTCCTGACCAAGTGAGAGTTTGTATCGACATGAGAAGAGCTAGCAAAGCTATACTGAGAGAACGCTATGTCATGCCCAGATTCGATGAACTTGTCACTGATTCCTTTTTTTATTTTATTTTATTTTAAATTTTTTGCTATTGATTTATAACTTGTATTTATATATCCCTGTTTTACATGATTTACAATTTATTTAGAATATAAATTTCTAATGAACTGTATTTTTAAATTAATTAATTTCAAATCAATTTAATTTTATTTTATTGATTTACTCTTTTTAAACCAGCCTTCTTACTGTTTATTTGTTTGTCTTGTTTATCTGTTTATTTTAGACCTTTTTTAATTTTTTTTAAAATTTAAATTAAGTGCAGAGGTTAGTAGTCCACTAACTAAACTAAATTACTAAACTAATTAAGTCTTATCTAGACTTTAATAAACCTAAATGATAAACAAAAAATAGAACTGAAAATGTACACCAACAGAAATGCTAAACCAATGGAATGCTTACCAACACCTGTACAACTGCCTGTTCTGTAATGTAAAGGTCAAGGTCAATGGAGAAGATAGGTATTATTTATCTACTACTCTTCCTTCCAGTCTACTTTCACTTTCACACACTACTCTGATTTAAATCATTGTAAAAAAAATCTATGAAATAGACATGATCAAATATTGAATAAACACACACAGGCCTGGAATAATTGAAAACAAAATAATAAGTAATGTGATTGTAAATATGAGCGCTCAAATATCAGTACAGCCACCTACAATCAGCTGTTCGTAGTAAAAATGAAAATCAGCTGTTCGGAATACAACGTGGTTTACATGCAAACAAAACAATTGATAAATGAGTCAAATATGCAATAGCAATGTTTGTTTGTCTCTGCTTTCTTACCACACGAAGTCTGGTAACGAAGTCTTTCACTGTTTGTCCATGGAAACCAAGTTCAACGAATAATATCACAAGTCACAACACTGTAGGCCTAATGTTTATAAAGCATGGTAACTTCCGGCGACTTCCTGTATGCACTGTGACGTCATCTTCCGGCGGGATATTCAAACACCATTGTTGGGCGCCAAATTTTGTAACCGGGTTTTCCCAATAATGATACGAAAAACACAGTTGGTGATGTGGGTTCTTTTTTAATTGTGATAATATATTTATAGATAATAAACAACCCTACAAAACATGTAAACATAATAAATATTTCATAACATTAACATAAGTATATATTTTATCACAAATTATTCCATTAGCATAAAATCTATATTACACTGATATTTCTATTAATTTACTCATTATCACTTCATGAATATTATCAAAGGGAAATAACTCTTATTTCTCTATAATTTAGCATATGCATAAAAACTCAAGTAAATCTATAGAATTTACCAAATATATTTACAGTTCTCAAAAATATGCAATAATATAAATAAATACCAAGTTGTGGACCTAGGCTGTCCAAGAATAATCTCTGGGTGTTACATCCAAACCATATCTGACCTATATTATAGTACAACATATGGTTGTATTGACTAAATCTTATAATATATACAATATTTACAAATTCCTTATGGTCAGATCTCATCATAAAGCAGATTTCTTATATCAGTGTAACTTTAAAAACAGATCTTCAGATTTATATTCATTTAAACCATTTACTATATAATTTTACTCATTTTCATTTACTCAATAAATAGTATATTTCATTCATACTCATTCATTCAACCAAGCAAAGTGTTAGTAAAAGAAAATAAAGAACTTACTGTAATCAGGTCTAATGTCCAGTCACATAGAAATTATATCAAACCAAATGTATATCAGACAAACTAGCACTCTGGCTTATGGCTAGATTCAAAGTGAATTTAAAATAACAAAGGAAAACTTACTAAGGAATTTGACCTCAATGACCTACCAATAAAAACTCTCCATAACAAGAATAGCCAATCGACTATGCTTGACCTAGACTGGTTCTCCTGTAAATACCTGAATGAACTAAAGAGTTCTAACAATGAAAAGATAACTCTTAATCTAAAATAAGTACTAACATGCAGTGTGTGAAATAAGTTTAATAAATTTAATTATCAAATGGAGTTTAAGTTTCAATTCATATTTATTTATAGCAGTAAGTTTGTTTATTAAGTTATTTCAAATTTAATTTATTTACAGTTTAAAATATAACAAATAACCCATTATTACATGTACACTAAGGCAAGCGTTTTATCTATGTGGATGCCTGATTCAAGGTACAAAGGCGATCCACTGGGTAGTGAGGTCACTGGTGCTGAGGCAGATTTGAGGAACCCCAGTTATCTACTGGATAGTGAGGTCACTGGTACTGGGGTAGATTCGAAGGACCTCTGCGATCTACAGAGTAGTTAGGTCACTGGTGCTGAGGCAGATTCGAAGGACCCCAGCGATCTACTCAGTCTGATTAAAATTAAACCTTCACTAGCTCTTTTTTATTGTTTTGTCGCGTGAAGGTCTGAAGAAACTACATAAGAGGTCACATGTGGATGACCTATTAATTAGCATATGCGAAATGTAGTTCGTGACCTTTTTTAACCAATCACATTGTGCGTACTTCAAATGCTTCGTGGAAATCCCAGATAACCAGTAAACAAGATGGCGTCCTCCACGTTTCGAGAGGCAATCGAAGAAATATGCAAACTGTTTGCGATAAAAAGCTTGAAAGAGGAGCAGGAGATGATGATAAAAACTTTACTCGACAAGAGAGACTGTATTGCAGTGCTGCCAACTGGGTACGGCAAGTCTTTGCCGTACCAGTTATTGTTACCTTTGGCACGAAAGTTGGGTATTGAAGCTGATTTCAAGATCGTTGTATGTTGTCCGCTGGTCGCTCTCATGGAGGACCAAGTAAAGAGATTGGAAAAGGTGGAATGCCTGCGGAATATGTACAAAGGTGCATATTTCTTTACTTATAATTATCCAGTGCCAAATAATGGCAAATATATATGCATAAAACAGGTCATAGTTAGGTCCAGGAAAATCGTTATTAATTAGTAATTCAGTATATATATATTTACCTATATAGCATAATTAGTGATTTTCCTGGACCTGTTAGTATGGCACGGTCTCTTGAGCATGTTGAGTAGCTTGAAATAGCTACTCAAAACATTGTTTATCAGGTTGGGACCAATTTCCTAAACAATGGGCATACAGGAAAACTTGTCAACCAAAAGTTATTCCTTTTAAGTGTTTTGATGCCGATTTATGATATTTATTGCCAAAGTAAAAATTTTCAATTACTGCACTGTAATTTTATAGCCCATTTGGGATATTATATCCCAAATGGACTATTATATCCCATTTGGGCGATTAGTCCCAACCTGTTTATTGTAAGAAATACATATATGATAAAGAAACAATCGTAAGTATTTGACAAATATGATATATGCTATCAAGAATGCAACCCAAATCACAGATAGTTCTAATAGTGCAGCTTTTTAATATTTTTTAATACTTTTAAACCGAGTATGAATTTCCCTTGTTTGAGTAGTGTACCTCAGCTCCTGACCTTTACCTAGACATGGACAAGTGTGATAGTTTGCTATCGTGATCAAATGTCTCTCTCTATATATTATGAATTAACTTTATTACAGGAAGAAGCAAGGAATTAGATAAAAGAATTCTGGATGGTGACTTTGATATTTTATTTGCCTCACCGGAAGCATTAGTTGGCGATCAGCACATTCGCCTACAGTTGCAGAAATACAAAATCGGAGTAATTGTGGTTGATGAATTCCATACTATTTATGAATGGCAAGTTTTTATAACAATATCTATCAAGGATATTTCTGTGTCATATTTATGTGTTGCTTGCGGAGTAGAGCAGCACTGAGGGGTCACTTTACACGGTGTCTGTCCTCTCACCCTGTATCTCAAGAACTGTAAGTCTTTGAGATATGGACTTGATATTTGCATATTTATTGCTTAGCATTATGGGATTTGTAAATTACCTTGGTTACAGACTTCTGACACTTTACCTTTTACTTTGACCAGCTTTTACTTTACCATGTTTGATTACTAAAATTAAAAAGATAGAAGTGCCAAAATACAGCACATTTTTTATATTTAAGGGGTATTTCTATGCTATTAAGCATGTGTACTGCTTGTCATTAAACATTTATATGAAAAATACCAGTGTTAGACTTTTGACCTACTTTACAAAGAATAATATCCCGTACAATTTAATGTTTGTTAAGATTTTTGAATTTTGATTGGCAGGTGTTGATAATTAACATTTATACATGTTTATAAGCTCATAATACTGTTTTTTGAAAATGTATGGTATTCATAGTATTATTGAAAATGTATGGTATTCATAACCACACAAACTGATACTTACAGGGAGCATGCTTTTCATAACATTGTAAAGTAATATAAAAAAACAGGTTTTAGTCTTTATTCATCAAAGGGAAATCTCATGATGAAAAGTGTATTGAGGAAGAGCAAGCAAACATCTATAAAAAATTAGTTTGTGGGGAGTCATGAAACTTTATGATGACTTTACCCGCGGGTTATAATGCCCATTTTAATTAATGATATTCAGCCAGTTGTATCAAGCATCAACACTTCTTAACCTTAAACTTTTTGGTTAATGTTTTTTGTAAATTTTGTTAGCACAGGCTGCCTTTTATTGTATCAGTCCACAATCATTTTGATAACTCCTCAAATAGAAAGTGTGAATTTCATAATATGTAAACGGTGCACATGGCCAAATCTCTTGCAAGATACATGTATGTTGTTTTCCTACCATTAAAATGTATTTTTTTAATATTACTTTTTAAAATAAGATGTTAAGTGTACAATGTTCTTCTTAAATATTTCAGGGGTGGTGAGGCGACAGCTGATGACAGTGGCGCATTCAGAAAATGGTTCCGATACATTGGTGAACTCAGATCTTTATGGCCAAAAGCAAACCTTCTTGCCTTGAGTGCAACGCGCACAAACAACATCAAGAGACGTGTTTACAGGGTTTTAGGCTTAGATCCTGCCCACACAACTGAGCTCACAGTCTCACCCAATAAGCCAAACATTAAACTCATTGTTAAAAAAGTGGACAAGAACATTGAGACCTCAATGTGTTGGCTAATTGATGCTTTAGATGATTTAGAAGACCAATTTCCAAGAACTCTTGTTTACTGTAATTCCATCTCTGATGTGTCAAAATTGTACTGTTATGTTGTTTCAGAGAATAATCAGTTACAAAAATTAGTAGATATGTTTCATTCAGAAACATTAGACGAAAACAAAAGTCAAATCATTAAAGTGCTAGGCGAAGAGAAAAGTAATGTAAGGATAATATTTGCCACCACAGCATTAGGGATGGGAATAGATGTTGTTAATTGTACATCAATGATTATATTTGGACCTCCAAGGAGTGTAGTGGATTTGGTGCAAATGATTGGCAGAGTAGGTAGATGTGGAAGTCAATCAGTTGCTATCATTATGTTTAATTCTTATCAATTAGGACATTGTGAAAAAGAGGTGAAAGAGTTCTTAGAGTGTAAATCATGTCGCAGAAAAAAACTGTTAGAAAGTTTTCTATGTGAATCTGAAATGTCAAAAGTAGAAGTTGGCACTCATATTTGTTGTGATATATGTGCAGATTTGTGTACATGTAAAAAATGCAAATTTCTGGATCTAGAGCATTTGCTTAATAACAGTAGTAAAGCCAGTGCTTTATCTCAATGTAGTGATAGTGACTTTATAGATTATTACAGTGATCATGCTGATGGTGAATTCACTGATAATGAAGAATTGACATTGTTTCAGTCTGTCAATGAGCCAGATTAAAAATTAAAATCTGAATACTTTGTATTATTTGTTGTTCACTTATCTAAAAGCTTTCACATTCAATTTAAACTTTGGTCTTGGGAGATAGTATGTTAAGAGTTCAAGGTTTTGTTCAGACTGCCTGAGGATGTGTGAAGATTTTTACCTATGTACCGGTAATTTTAAGAAGTGTTTGAACCTCACCATAAAATTAGCTAGACATGTAGGGCTGAGACAGCTAGTTAAAGTTATCAACCCTGCCAAGATTGTACTAACCCCCAAAAATAGTCTTATAAGATCCCTTTAGCAATAATGTGAATGGGGCCAGCTCACTATACATTCGATCATGGTCCTTATATAGGCTGATGAAGTCTACCCATTTGTTTGTTACACTTTGCAAATAGTAATATGAGTTGATTTGAGAGTTTTATCAAATATCTGAATTTGAATTTGTAAAAATTTTACATGTCTAGCCAGGTGTCAATACATGCAAATCTGTTTGCCTGCGACAAAATTTGTGCATGTCAGGCACATGGTTATTTTAAACACTGTTCCCATGTAAAACTTGTTCGTCTGTTGTGGCCCAACCTTAATCCCAGAGGTCCTAATTTGAAGAAACTTGAATCTAAGCTACCTTTGCATGCTTCTCCATTAGTTTCATCCTTCCTGACCCAGTGGTTCTTGAGATTGATTGTATACTGTTTGTCCCTTTTGAGAACTTTTCACTCATATGGAGATGCCACCACTTGCTGGTGGAGAGTTGCAAATAATTTCTATAATTGGCGTTGAGGGCCATTGAGCTAGGGGGGTTCTTTTTCATGTCAGCACCTTCTGTGACACAGGACCTTATTAATAAGGTCTCCTTCAAAGGACCGGTCTCAATGTCCCACACTGGGATTCCAACCCGCTGCTTAAGATTTTATAAAATATGCAACCAAATTTTCACTATTTCTGAAATATTTCCCCTTGAAAAAGGGTCACTGTTTCCCTTCATTTGAACAAGCTTGAATCCCCTTCACCCAATGATGCTTTATGGCAAGTTTTGGTTAAAATTGGCCCAGTGGTTCTGGGTTGGGGAAGTAGAAAATATTTATAGTTTATGGACGAACAGACAGATGAATGCCGGACAAAATGTGATCAGAAAAGCTCTCTTGAGCTTTTAGACACTATGTAGGAAATGGAGAAAATTCCAAATCATGTATAATTTTTATTTCGTAATCTTGAAAAAGGTGTAACAGGTCTATGTCTATGTATGAGAACAGGAAGTCCTTTAACAGAATTATCATATGGATTTTTATCTTTACAAAGATCTCTTCACAACTGTTTCCTATCTGGCTGACATTGCAATGCATTTATACATGGAATTTCTTTGGCAACTTTAATTACATCAGCCTTATAGCTTGGCAATTTGTGAAACCCTTTCCTGCCCCTGACCTCAGATATTTGATCAAAATTTATCAAATGTGGATACTGCTTAGAATGCATGATAATACTTTCTTTTGTTTGGTGTCCTGACACAATGTTCTTACTATCTCTATTCAGTATTTCAAGATATTCATCGAGTGCAAAATTATTATTTTTCCCACCTGAAATGTTAATTGTTCTGTTTGCCTCTAAACGCTGTTTTTGGTGATTTGGAAGAGTATTTTCATGCAGTTCAGTAAGATGAACACAACCAATCACATATTTTACTTTCCCTGTTTTGTTGAATAAAGGTAGTTCATATTTTGCCTACCGAATCGATCTACAGCCATAAGCCATATCAATAGATGTATCAAGATTTTTCAACAGAGCAGTTAATTTGAATAACAGTAAAACATAATTGTTCAATTCATCACAATGTTCTGCTTTTGACTTTTTTGAATTCTGGTGATCATTCTTATGCTGATGCTTTGTGACTTCATGGCTTTTCAAACTTCCTACATGTGTATAAGACCTATCGCAGTAATGACACTGGAGTCTTCCATCACTGATATTATTTACGTAGTAGTTTTCTGGATGGCTAGAATCAATTAAGACATCACGTACATCTTTCAACATATCATCTGAATTATCAAAAAACCACTTCTTCACAATATTCTTACAAACTGAATTTATCCATTTTATTTTTTCATCATCAATCATTTCCATGAAATCTTTGGGGAATGTAACGTTAGTATCAAAATCAAAAATGTTGAACTCCATCAAAAATAGCACGCAACATATGGCGTCAAAAATGGTATAGTACAGCATTTTATACGCTCTAAAAGCATTCTTCACATCGCTTTTAACATTTCTGGCATTGAGAACATTCCGGAAGTAGTAGGCTGTGCCTTTGTCCCTCTCTGATGAAGTTGAATACGTCAATTTGACGATGGCCTAAAATAGTGGATAAAAAGATATTACCCAGTAGCAAAAAGACTTTTAAAAAGTTAAAAAAAATGCCACCTTGGCCCATAAACTTTAAGATTTTTAAGAAGCTAAAATAATTTGTTTTTCCAATGAACTAGCATAGATGAGCATACCTAAACTGTAACAATAAACAATATTACAATAATATTGTACTTGAAGTCAGGAATGAAATAAGATGTTTTTATTTACCAGTAAAATGATTAAAAAAAAAAAACGAAAACATAATTGTGGCTACACATGAAAAAGTGGCTTAAATGATATGCATGTGATTATCATTTTATTTGAAAATTATGTGAAAATCATATGAAAATTATATATATATATATTTATGTGAATGATATTCACACAAATCTTTTATTGAACTTTCATGTGAAGTTTTCTTTGCATGATTATGTATGCTAATATATGCTTATCATGTAAAATTCATGTGACAATTATGTGTCAAAATCACATGAAGTTTTCATATAAATTTCACGTCTTGCTTTTTGTGTCATTTTCATGCAAAGAATTCACATGAAATTTATTTGAGCCACTTTTGCCTGTGTAATCACTAGAATAAATATGTAAATAAATCGTTCTTAAATATGACAATGCGAAACCTTAATGTTCATAACCTTAGGTAAATTTAAAACTAAATTGATTTCATATTCAAGAGTCAAAATTAGGGAGTTAAGTACCTCTAAGAAGTTCATCATTCGGTGCCAATCTTCAATCTTGGAGATGAATCCTTAAAGTTTATCAAGGGGAGTTGGAGCATTATTCATGGCCCGCTGAGCACTCTGGATTCTTTCATCCGTAAGTCTATCCCCTGAAATCCAAACATGTTTATTCAATTAACGATTAAATGTCTTTGAAAATATTTGAAAGGAGAATGGGTCAGTATCTGGCTTGACTGTCTTTTTTTTTTTAACAATTCATAATTATTGTTTTCGATATTTGACTTAAGAATTTATCAGGGTTTCATAATCTTAATGCACAATTTTTTAATTTATTTGACAAGTTTACTTACCACCAAAGAAGACCTCTTCAATATTTCCATTTTCGTCAACTGGGACATATTGGGTGAGCCCTTTCAGCAATTTAATGACATCCTGTGTCTTATTCTCATCACAGTCAAAAAGACCAAGGGAGTACTAAATAATTAAAGAAAAGTGAGATTATGTCGTAATTTATATCAGTATTACTCCGTCTAACTAAATATCCTAATTTTAATATAAAGATTATGTCGGACTCCCTTGGGGAAGAAATCAATAGATGTGAGCTATTAGCATTGATAAATGAACTCCTTAAAATTTACCTGTGTTGTTTTTAATCCAGCATATTCACTGTACTTATGGTTTAAATGCACTGGATAGATCTCTCCAAAAACATTCTGCATCTGATCAATGTTCTGAATCACAGAGGTAGCTATGATAAATGTTAGTTCCTCACTCAGCATTTGTTGTTCATTTACTGATGGTATAAACCTGTGCAGTGGAAAGTCTTCCAAATACATAGTTTCAGGCATATTTTCTTCACAACTGATTCTGTCCATAACCACTAAAACATTAAACAGATGCAAGGATATTGTTTTGTCTTGAGAAGTTCGATACACAGGTATTATGTTCTTATCCCAGTTGTCACCGATTATTTGATATGTACTAGTAGTACCACCACTCTCAATCCATTGTTGTTTTGCTTTTACTACTGCAACATCCATGTTCTTTTCCCATGAAGAGTGTTTATTGAAGAGAGATTTGGGTGATATGCATAGTCCAAGTTTTGCCAATCTTTCTATATCCTGAAAACAGAAACAGAACCATTATGATTGTAAATATTTATACTATGCAATCACTGACAATAGGGGGTGCAACAATTTAAGAAGGTTCAGTTACACTAAAACATACCTTTTAAAGTGTTGTGTGATTTTTCTTTGAATCTACATATTTCAACAAATATTGTCATACTATCACATGCAATAAAATGAAATGCTGACTTACCCTTACTTTGCATCCACCATGGGCTAAAAGGAATCCAACTTGATATTGCATTGAGGATATCTGGTCATCTCTTCCATGGAAGCAGATACCAAGAGAGTTCATCAAATGCAAATTTTTTTTCAGTTGGGTGAATAGGGATATCACTTACTATGGCTGAGACAATTCTTAGTGTGTTCGGTGTATAAGGAATCCCATGTAAAGCCGAAAATTCCCTCATAAGTTTTTGTTGTAAGATGGAATCTGATCCGCGTTTACACAGAGATTTGCACTCCGTAGAAACCAATTTGCATGCTGCTGTTGTGACGACATCAGGATTTGATTTGCTTATTATTTCTATGATGCACTTTTCTACATTTTGTCCCCTGAACACTGCACGGCATATTTGTTTGTGATTTTCCTCTAAAACAAATGATGACCTCTCTCCTCCTGGATAGTAAACAGTAACCTGATATGGAAAACATAATTTACGGTAAAAGAAAATAGTTTTATACTCAGATCTATAAATTGAAATTTGTCTACATCAGCTGTAATGGACACTTTAACAAAAAAATTCAAGAAAAAGGTAACAAGAACAAGTCATACCTTCTGCATTGATGTGTATAGAGGGTATTGGAAAAGAAAAATCCTGTAAGTATAAATAAAATAAAAATT